TCGGCTCCTGGGCACCTCACCGGGCTCTGGTAGCCGGAGAAAGGGCTACAACATACTCTTTTGTCCTCCCTGCAACCTTTGATTTCCCCTGGTGCAAAGGGAACCAACTCTATCTCCCCCAGTTTGTAAGAACCTCAAGTCTACAGCTTTCCAAGTACTGCCAGCTGGTGAGGTTTCTGGTAGTTTTCACGGGGCCACCCCTGGGCTTCTGCCAGTTCATCAGGGGCCTAAGTGCCCAGGAGCAAAACACGCTTTAGAACCAGTTTGGGGAAGAGCAAGTGTGTGTATGTGTGGGGGGTGCACAGGCACCTAGATCCTGAAGCTTACCATAGGTCTCCATTTCTTTTGGAGATTCCCCAAAAACGAATAGGGGAGCCCCTTGCAAAAGGGCACCCAATCCTGGCAGCTTCACCTTTCCAAGCTCACAGATGCTTTCCTGCTCTTGAAGCCTGGCGCTCACCTGGTCTTTCCTCTCATGAAGGCCCCCAACTCGCGAAGCTCACCTTTCCAATCCCCCAACCCTTGAGCAGGGTTGGCCCAGTGGGAGCCCCTGCCGCACACTGCTCAGTGGAAGGTGATGGGGCGAACCCTTCCCCTAAACGCCTCATAAACTGCCCGGCCGAGCTCCCGGCCCAGCCACCAGGTCAGTATGCCTTTTACTGCTCAGCTCGATTGCACACCATAAACCCGACCTCACAATGGAATTGCCCCGGAAATTCTCCTCCAAATTATAGAGTTTGGTTCCTTGTGTACAAAGCACTTCCCATCATTTTCAGAGGGTCCAGGCTGCCCGTTCAAGGCACCCTCTTAGGGGGTCCCCAGAGCACAAAAGGCACCGGCAGTGTTCAGACCCGGATGCAACGGAGCCCCATCTCCCGCCTGGTGGACAGCCCACAGGCAAAGGTGGGGAATGGGGGGTGCTGTCAGGGGCAGGTGGGCGCCTGGTGGTACATCCTGGGGGTCCGGAGGCCACAGGGGATCAATACCCCGAATGTCCTTTATGGGGCATCAGGCTGACAGTGTGTCTGTGCTGGCAGAATGGAGGGGGTGAGACGGGAAGGCAAGGGAAAAACCAAATATTCCCAGAACCAGGCTTCTGGCAGAAAATGAGAACCTAAGAATGTTAGAGAAAGAAGAAGCAAACAAGGAAAAAGCTAGGAGATCAAAGAGGCAGAATTACACAGCTTTAGACCAATAAATTGTTCCTCGGGTGACACAGAGCAAGATGCAAGGAGAAAGACCGTGGTGGCTGCTGCCGCCGTCTGTCTAGACTTGGGCGGCTGGAGCAGCGGACAGCGATGACGATGAAAGTAGACCCTGCCCTGAGCGAGCGACCAGACGGCGGGATGAAAAGGAGCGCAGCTCTGGCCGAGAGCAGCCGGAGCCCGCGCCACAGGCTGATCCTGGCCGAGGGTTGCCCGGCATGGGTCCAAACGGTGCTGGCAAAACGCGCTGCCCCCTCGGCCTGGGCCAAGGAGATTCAGATACGGCCGGTGAGGCCGCGACCTTTCTGGGCCCAAGGCGGCCCACCGGGCTGAGTCCCGCGGGTGCCCAAACCCGCCTTTCGATTCTGGGCTTATTCATCTCTTCCCTCCTGCGTCTGTGGCAGGATTTGAAAACGAAAAGGCCAGGCAATGCCAGGATTTCAGTAAGGCCTCTTTTACGGCATTGTCTTAGACCACTGATTTTTTACTTACTTGGCTGAAAAAAAACACAAATGCACTGGGTTATAGATGATAATCTTCACCAAAAAACTCGTTGCTGCTCGGCCTGGCGCAGGCGTGTGGAGGCGGGATTCTAATCCCGGAGCTCTTGGAAAGACACCTCTGCGCTCTCCTGGCGCAGGGTGCCTCCCTACCCAGCAAAGCGCTCCCCTTGCTCCTTGTTCCCAAACAGTCCTCAAGGCTTACATACGCCCCACTAAGAAGTCAACCCAGTTCTAGGGCGCCGATTGGAGACTGCGGGGCAGTCTCCGGTTTGGCCATTTTCTCAACGTTTCCACCCGCACCGGTGCTCGGCTTGCTTTTGGGTCTCTGTCCTACGAGCAGTCCTGGGTGGAGGAGCGGGGACAGAGTCCTCCCCGACGAGTGCAAAGGAGGCCGGCGGGCGCACGACTTGTCCGCGCTGCTCATACAGAAGCCGTTCCCAGGCTGCTTGGGGGCCAGCCGCCTTCCAACTGCCAGTCGGCCAAGGGCAACAGAGGCCCCTCCTGGTGGTCCCTGAGCCCTCGGAGGTCCTGGTGGGCCTGCACCTACCTGGGGCCTCCGTGGTCGGTGGGAAGCAGCGCTCACCACCGGTCTGCTCCTTCGCCATTTATTCGTAGTTACACAAATCGAGCTTTCTGTCTGCGGTTTGGATACACAGCCAGAGGCGGCTCTGGGGGAAGCTATAAAACCCTTCTTACAATCAGATGTCGTGAAATAGTGTGTATTATATAAGGAAATATAATGGAGGCGTGTGTCTGTAATGCCAGTGTGTGTGTGTGTGTGTGTGTGTGTGTGTGTGTGTGCGAACGCGCGTGTGTGTATCAACTGCGAAAAAGGGAATGAGGAGCAGGCGGAGAGAGGAACGCCCGGGAGAGATGTCAGCCAAAATCCAGCTCCCAGTTTTACAGCATGTGCAGAGTGAAGATGCAGGTTGTAAACATTTTGTGGGCTTGGTGGAGACTGTTACGACTCAAATAACTGCACCGCGTGGCGTGTTCACAGCGCTCCCGGGGTGCTTCAAAGGGCAGCTCGCTTGCTTTTTTCGTTCCCCCCTCGGAAACCATTCTGCGTCGGGGTTGATCTTCCTCACAGTGGGACTAGGGGCGCGCCTGGAAGTTTTGGGGGCGTGTTCGCCATCCAGGGTTAGGAATAGGCTGGGCCAGGTTTGGGGTCCCCTCCATGCTCCTGAGCAGCAGCCCCCGGAGCGGCTGCAGTCCTCCCACCGCCCACGAAATCCGGCGGCCAGAGAAAGCGAGGGCGGTTTTCACGACGTGACCTCCTATCCCGGAGCTAAGATGTCATTATAATTACTTTAAATTGAATATTTATTTTAGAATAACCAAGTCAGTTCCAGCCTGGTCCCCAGGAATTCCCCATCCAGGCAACTCGGCCGCCAGACCCACACGAGACAGTTACCGAGAAGCCTTTCCATGCCGTTTTCGGTCGTCGAATCGTACTGTCACGTATTCGAGACGGCAGCATCCCGGGGTCCCCGCTCGCCTGCGGGTGCTGGCCCGCCTGGCTCTCCCCCGGGGGCCTCCAGGGCCGCCGCAGCACCCGTGGCCACCAGGTCCGGGGGCTACAGGCCTTAATATTTGTGTCTGTCTTCTGGTCAGTCGGGTTCTCGGCGCGTCTGGCCGCCCCAGGCCTGCCCCGCGCTGGGGAGGTGCCCCACAGCCTCTCCTGCGCCCGGGGCTGCAGCCCTGCGGCCGCCGGGCGGCACCGGCTCGCGCTGTGCCCGGGGCACGGACGAGAGGCGGCCGGCAGCGGGCAGGGCCCCCGGCTCTTGCCAGCTTCCCAGCGAGATTTCCCACCCAACATGAGCAGCACCGAAAGCAAAAGACCGCCGGGCACGCAAACCTCGGGCTCCCGTTCCAGAACCGCTCGTGTCAGGTCGACATCTTAGGAGCTTCCCCGGGCGCCGGCGGCGGGAGATGGCGGCGCGGGCGCCTCTTCCGTGGAGCCACACTGCCATCTGCTGGCCACGCCGCGGCACTGCAGCGCCCGGGCCGGCCTGAACTTCGCGAGCCGCCCGCAGGCTCCCCGCGGCAGAGCCCCGCCAGGGCCGGGGCGGTCCGGCGGGGCGGTGGGGGTCTGCGCGAAGCCCGGAATCTACGCTGCCAGAGGGCAGTGCCCATAAAAGAGCTGTTTCCGCAGCCGCTTTATCGGCAGCAGACAGGGCAAACAAATGAAAGGGCTTTGGTGGAAAATCTTAATTGGGGCTGGACAGTTGTAAACTCATTAAGGACCGAATTCCAGACAGTTCGCAGACCCGGCCTTTATGGCACACTCTTACTGCCCATTCTTTGAAGTTCCTTCTGTCTGCAACAACAGAGGGCGTCCCAACTTGGCGACGGGGTGGGGGTGGGGGTCTAGGGGGTCGCCCCATTCCCCTGGCGCCCTGGTTCCCGTTTTAGGCGTCTCGTCGGGAACGCAGATAGCTTTGCAGAAGACCAGGGGGTGGGTTTGGGGTGGGGAGGGCGAGAAAAGAAAAGGCAGAGGAGATGAGGCTGAACTCCAGCCCCATCTAGAAGGCGCTTGGGCCTCCGAAGTTGTGGTGTTCCCCCGCAGTCCTTTACACCCCATAAACGGTAACAGCCCTCATATTCTTTTATGGCGCTTGGGGCTCCTCGGTTGCCTGGCCCTGCCTCTGCGAGGACCTGTGCTGGCGAGGCTTGCGCTGTGCCAGACTCAGATTCCCCTGGGCCTACCTGACGGGACACAGGGGGTGTGGGGAGCAGCCTTCGTCCCCTGAGAGTCCCCAAGTGTCTGCCTGAGGCCACGTTGTGGTTGTCCGTTGTGGTTGTCGGCCTCCCGTTTCCCTTCCCGGGGAACTCCTCAGGAGGCAAGCCCCCAACTCTCTGGGTCCCTCGCCCTCCCTCTACCTCCCACCCGCCGCCAGGGAAGGTGCCTGGAGTCCCCATGAATCTGGATTTGGAAAATTGCGGGGCGCCGAATGAAAGAATGACCTCTCATTGCTACTGGCCTGTGCTACCGGCGACTCCAGCCCAACTCCCCAGGGCCTCCCCGCCAGCCCGGAGGAGGCAGCGGTCCTACAAATGGACACAAAGCAGGGAGTCAGGCCTCACCGCCCCTTGTCCTCGCAGGCAGCTGGCCTGCTTGGATGTGCTGAGGCCAGCCTGGGACTGGTTGCCACAGGTCCTGGCTCCTAAAAGCCCGCCAATGGCAAAATTGAGGCTCTGTCCTCCTCCACTTCACTGGGGCCCCCACCCAGAGACTACCCAGGTTCCCCCACCCCAGAGAAGAAGGTGCAAAAAGCTGACCCGCAAAAGATAGAAAAGAATCAATATATTTTATTTGGCAAAAAGTTAAATATCTCAACACAATTTGGTCAGTAGGCCTTGAGGTAACTATTGCAAAATATACAGTGTATGTTCAGCCCGATGGAAACCCCAGATTCATCAAGGATACAAATCTACAGTAGCCCAATGGCAGTTTCATAGTGTATAATTTATTATCAATAAAATTAACTCCGTTACAATAAGCATTCATTTTCCCCGATTAAAATTAAACGTAAACCATAGGTAGTAACCTTCTGCACATGTGTATAGCTCCGAATTTCCTCACTGTTTTTCTGGTGCAAAACCAGTATTCAAGCTCGTTTGATTACTTTTTCTTTAACATGTGAATTATATATACAACGAACAAGATAGACCTATAAAGCATGGAAAGACTAAAATGCCCACATTTCAAACGTGGAGAAAAACCATGATCCTATGCATCCCGGAGAACCCTTTCTTTTCAATTTTTTTTTTTTTAAATTTCACTGGGAAATCCTTACAGCTAGTTTACAACCAAAGGTTAACAGCCTAGTTATACAGAAGACATATTCCACTACAGAGCTATACTCTATGCGACTGTTTTTCTCCCTCATAAACAACCTGAGTTCAAATTGAATCCTAGCTTTCACAATCACAACGGGTGCGTCACCCAGCACAGAAGTTTGAGTCACAAAACATAATTACCACAATAAAACACAGTGTTCAAGTATCTGGGCAGATCGCTCTGCTGCACAAAGAGCAAATTAAATTAACTACACAGACTAAAAACTATACAGCCCACCATCAACAGTTGTGCATTATAAAAAGGTAGTTTTTTTTTTGTTTGTTTGTTTTAAGTCAGGACAGGTAGATTTTTTTTTTTAAATATATACAAGCTAGCACACACAACCATCAGCGCTAATGCCCCCTTTATTCATTTTAAGAAAATGGAAAGCTTACAATACCTCCTCCATCAAAGCGGCAGGCCAAAGAGGCAGCCTGAGCAGGGTTTGCCAGGGGGAGATGAGGCCTGGAGGTTAGAGCCGCTTTGTGCTGGGTGGTGGAGGCTAGGGTGGGGTGGGGATGGGAGAAGGAAATGGGCAGTCCTTGCTCTTTCTCTAGCTCCTTCTCCCTTTTCTAAACGAACTCCTGAAGCATCACTCGTCTTTTGCTCGGTCCTTGTTGATTTTCTTCATTTTCATCCTGCGGTTCTGGAACCAGATCTTGACCTGCCTCTCGGTGAGGTTGAGCAGTCGGGCCACCTCGTACCTGCGGTCCCGGGTGAGGTACATGTTGAACAGAAACTCTTTCTCTAGTTCCAGCGTTTGGTGTTTCGTATAGGGGCAGCGCTTCTTCCGTGTAGAGCGTGCGTGGAGCCAGTTGGCAGCCGGGTTGCCTATGCGGGGGGAATAGAGACAGGAATTTAGAAGCAGCAGCCGCCACCCGGCTCTGGGAGCCGGGGAACCTCCTGGGGTCTTCGGCCAAAGTGCAGGATGCGGCTGAATCGCTCGGGAAAGGCAGCCCAGCTCTGGACACAATGGAACCCTGGCAGACAGACGCAGGGACCGTCACTTACAATTGCGCGCAGTAAAACCTCGGCTCACCCCCCCTTTCTCCTCTCTCCTCCTTTCTTTCCTCCCAGCTCCGCATTTTGTGTCCAGAGTGGACGTGGGAAGCAGAGCTTGTTGCCACTCGGGGGAAACCATGCTGCCCTGTGCTCCTGTGGCAAGACTGGTATTTCTTTTCTCCCGCTCACTGACTGTTTCTTCCCTTCCCCACCTCTCGTCTATTCTCCCTACTCCTCATTTGACCTCCCTGGGAGGCTGATAGCCTAGCAGGCCCGCAAGGTGCCCCAGGACCCCAAAGGCGTCGATGGCTTCTCCAGTTTATTGAAATAATCTGGCACGGGGGCTCCCACGGTCCGGCTGCCTGCAGCCTCATCTTGGGCAGGATTTACGCCACCACTGGCTGAAGGGAAGAAGTGGAGGGCATCGGCCGGTCCCGCAGCCTCCCGGGTCAAGCTGCCCGGCTGTCGCTGCTGCCGCCGCTCGTGGACAATCGAGCTGCACAAAAGACTCTCTCAGCCACGCTGCTTTCGAAGAACGGCCCAAAGTATCTCTGTCCCGGCCCCGGGCAGCCAAGGAGAGGGGCGGCTGGTCTTGGCTCGGCCCGCAGAGCCCGCCCCGCCCCTCCCCTCTCTCCCTCTCTCTCTCCCACTCTCGGCAACAGCCGCTTCCCCTCCCCCTGGAGCCCGGCGGGCCGGCTTGTCCCTGCTCTCTGGACTTGGGGCCCTCTCCGAGGTGTCCCAAACAAACAGCAACTTCTGGCTCCTGGACCCTGCTCAGGAGGCTCCCGGCGCGGGCGAAGGCAGGCTCGAGAGAAACGTGCTGGGCCGGCAGATCCCGGTGGCCGGCGTGGAGGCGGTGGCCGGTCTGGAGGGAGGAGACACTTACTGGGATCGATGGGGGGCTTGTCTCCGCCGCTCTCATTCTCAGCATTGTTTTCGGAGAAGGCGCCTTCGCTGGGCTGTTTTTCTCTATCAACTGGAGGAGAACCACAAGCATAGTCAGTCAGGGACAAAGTGTGAGTGTCAAGCGTGGGACAGTCACCCCTTCTGGCCGACAGCGGTTCAGGTTTAATGCCATAAGGCCGGCTGGAGGGCAAGCCCGCGAAGGAGAGCGCGCCGGGCGTGGGCTCCAGCCAGGAGCGCATGTACCTGCCGTCCGGCGCGGCCGCCGCCACGGGCGCCTGGGGGTGCACGTAGGGGTGGTGATGGTGGTGATACACGGCCGCGGGCACCGCGTTGGCGCCCGCCGCGTGCACCGGGTTCCACGAGGCGCCGAACACCGCCGCCTTGGACTGGAAGCTGCACGGGCTGAAGTCGGGGTGCTCGGCCAGCGCCGCGGCCTGCCGGGGGGGCTGGCCCAGGGCCCCCGGCGCATAGCGGCCCGCGCCCAGCTCGTCCGCGGCGTCGGCGCCCAGCAAGAACGAGTCCACGTAGTAGTTGCCCAGGGCCCCGGTGGTGGCCATCGCTGTGCCCCGCGCCCGGCCGGCCGGCCCGACCCGAGGAAATTATGAAACTGCAGATTTCATGTAACAACTTGGTGGCACCAGGGGGGGAAGTACAGTCACCTAATAAGTTGCCGGCGCCCGCGCCCCCATTGGCCGCGCGCGTCACGTGCCCGCCCAGCAGAACAATAACGCGTAAATCACTCCGCACGCTATTAATGGCCCGGTGTTTTGCAGTCATAATTTTTATAGCAAAAGCCATATGTTTTTATGCAAAGGGATCGCGACGCTCCACGATCGGGTTTGTTTTAATTGTGGCCAACGAAGATTAAAAGATCAAATCTGGCCTTGCCTCCGTGCGCCCTCCCCTCCCAGCGCCACCACCAGACACCCCCTTCTTAAGCGGACTATTTTATATCACAATTAATCACGCCATCAGCCCGGCGCGGGCCCCGCGTGCGAGCGCGGCCAGCGGAGCCCCTCACATAAAATTAGACAATAATTGAAGTCATAAAAAAGCAGCCAAATCGCATTCTCGCTCTACTGTATTTAAATCTATATTTATGATATTTCATAAGGAGTTATTGTTTCAGAAGCCACACAGGCTGGTGGGAAGTTGGGAACAACTAGCAGATTCGTTTGCCTCGCCGTGGCTCTCACTTGTAAAAATTTATGGGGACTTGGAAAGGTTAAATTAGACTGTTGTGTTTGGTTGGCGGGCCCCCTGTAAATAATCCCTGCGGTCCCCGGAGATGCGAGTTTACGCCGGGCCCGACGCAAAAAGTCAAATTCAACGCAGTATCAGTCCCGAGCGGAGTCGCCGCCGCCCCGCCTGAGCGCGCTGGACAGGGACAGGCCGCAGAGGGGGCACCAACTCTTGTGGGCCCCTGAAATCTGCCGGGCTGGACTACGGGGTGCCCGGGCAGCTGCCAGATTCGCCACTGCACCTCCAAAAGAGGGCCCCGTGGAGGAGCAGCCCGGGAGTTAGCGGCAGACTTCATGGAGGCGAATTATTCGAGGGACTGTTCTGCCTGGCGTTTGGCCCTGACAGGGCGCGCAGGATCGCCCAGCCCAGAATCCAGACTCCTGGGCCCACGCAGTAGGCACCCCTGCCCGGCGCGGAGACCTGCAAGGCCCTGACTCTGAGCTCTGCAGGCCTCTTCGAGCTTCCTAAACCCGAACTGTGGGAGAAAAGCCAGCCAGCATCAAGGGAAAGCGAGTTCGGCCTGCGAAAAGGCAGCCGCGCCTAAAAGACCCAGAGACTCCACTTGCTGGGAGACCCGCACCAGCAGAGTGGCTGCTCCCTGGGCCCAGTAGGACTCTATCCTTCCTGCCTTCCTGCCTGCCTTCCTTCCTTCCTTCCTTCCTTCCTTCCTTCCTTCCTTCCTTCCTTCCTTCCTTCCTTCCTTCCCTGTGGCAACCCCGGCCCTCCCTGGGTTACCCCCTGGGCCAGGCCGCTCAGTGGAGAGTTACAAGTGAAGCGGCAGCAGCTCAAGTCCAGGGCTAGAAATTAAAACGGGGAGGGGCACAGAGCATTGACTTTAATCCCATTCTTTGCTTGACCAAATTGTGGAGGGTATTTCTCATCCCTTAGAGTCTTTCAAGGATAAATTAGACGACTGTGACCTCTCTGTTAAATGAAAGAAAAAACCCACCCCAAATCTGAACAGAAAGGAGCAACTCCTAAAAAACGGGGTAATTAAATTCACGTGTGAACACTGCCTGCAAGAGTGTGTTTCTCATTAGCCCACTTCCCTGGCGGCGAGGGCAGGCGGCCTTGGTTCTCCCATCCCCTTTTCTGCCTCCATCCTTCCCAACAGATCCAGTAACTCCCACCCCCCCACACACCCACCCATCCTGCAACATCCCTATCCCCGGGCAGGGACCTTCCAATGCCAGGCTCTCCCTGAGCGTGAGGCTGCAGAGCCACGCAGAACAACCGAGTGCCCCTTCCTCGGCAGCAGAGGAAGAGAAAAGTGGCCGACACAATGAACTCCGACGTGGCCAGTCCTGGCCGCCTCAGCCCCCTCCCCCCTAATATTTTCCTTTCCCTGTAAATTCCTTGGCGTTATCCCCACCCCCCACACCCCGAATCCCAAGGTGTCCCAAATATCAGGCAGTTTCCGGGACCTCTGAAATTTTCATTAAGAAAAATTAAAGCCCAGGAAACCTTCGTTCCTAATTGCAATTATCTGCAAGTGGACTGGACATGCCTGGCTGCCTTTTCCACTTTTTGTACCCAGACAAGACACGAATTATTGTTAGTATTTTTAAAATAAAAGAGCTGTTTCTTTTAAATAGCCTAAACACCCCAAATCAAAAGGTTCTTAAATAATCTGCAGGCGTTGTGGGTTAAGCAGTCATTACCGGTGCCTAGAAGGAGGAAAATCACAAAACTAAATATTATACTTTTTCAGTCCAGAGGTTCCGGGAGAGAATATTCAAGTTTTGGTGTCTGCTTTTATTTTGGAAGTAAAAGGATTTGTATGTACATAAAGAAATAACAAATGGGTGTAGTTACAAAGAGCTCCTTCTCGCCTCAGAGTTTTAAAACCTTGGCCTCCTCAACAAATCCTATACTCAAATCCAGGATTGGAAAATAACAGAGAGGACTTGAGAGGAATGCTGAGTAGCCAGCCGGCCTTTCAGATCACAGGCCAGTGGAGTGAGCAATGAAAATAGTTCCTAGGTCCCCAGTTGGGGAGAGCAAGGGAAGCACCGTTCCCTGGACAGGATTCTAAAAGCCCACTTGTGTGTGTTGGCCGGTAAGGAGGGGTGGAAGTTGTTTTCAGTTTCCCAGAGTGAGAATGGTCCTGCTGGCTTCTAGGGGTGGAACAACTTGGAGCAAGGATTTAAGTTTGTGTTTCAATGGTTCTGGAATTTGGAATTCCTTTCCCCTAGTATTTGAAATAGACTAGCCCTGGATGGATCCCCTATACAGCCGCCCTGTGCACCAGGTTGCCATATCAAACATATCCCAAACCTATTAGCTACTAGTAAACAAGCGGTGAAGCTTTGCCTTAGCGGGACTCCCTTAACGTGGCCAAAGCCGGAGTTGGGACAGGCAGGCCCAGGGGAGAGCCGAGGAAGCCCGAAGGAGGGGCTCCCAGCAAGGCCAGGCTTCACCGAGCCTGGGAGGGTCTCTGCTCCGGCCCCAGCCTCAGGTTCCCAGTGACGCACCCTTCCCTCCGGGTGGGCACACAGAAGCACCGCAAACTCCCCCTAATCGGATTCCCTAGGCGGCTGTTGCGGACCGGCGGAGAAGGAACTGAACGCAAGGCCGCCGCCATCCGGTCGTGATCGTAACCGAGGCCTTGTCTGCGCAGCGGCGCACCAGGCCCAGATCCACAGGCCTGGACAACCGCCCCACGCGAGCCATTCCGCGGGAGATTGCGACCGCTACTTGAGTGCACAGAGAAAAATGGGACCCTCCCCTTTCCAACGTCTCCCCAAATCAACCCTGGGTCCCTCCCAGAGGGAGTTAGGTAGGCGAGAAGGTGGACATAGAAGGAAAACTGGACACAGAGATACCAAAGATGAAAGAGAAAGAAAAGGGAAGGAAAGTAGGAAGGAGTCAAGGGGGTGGGGGGGGAGAGGAAAGAGGATAGGAAAAAAGGAAGGAAGAAGAGTCAGAGACAACTCCCGGGAGCCTGGTAAGTAACCAGGCCAGGATCCCAGCCCCTGGCTCTCTTAGCTTGGCCTGAATCTCCACTAGCAAAGGAACCTTCCCAGATCTCTGACCCTGAATTGGGGCTGGTAGCACCCCATTCTTGGAGGAGAATGGGGGGTGTCCCTAGCAGCCAGGAGCAGGCCCAGAACCTGCTCAGGATTGAAGCGTGCGCCCCTGACCTTGAATGGCCTGGGGCCCAGAATTCCTACCACGCCCCCGGCGTCCTCGCAGCAACAGCTAACCTGACTGTACCTGCTCCGGGACTGGTGGGGATGGGGGATGAGGCCAGCAGCCTGGCAATGCGCTGAAGAGGAGCTGGGGACCAGGTTCCTGCGCGGAGAAAGCCGAGGATGCCACCGCAGGCCTGGCACGACCAGGGTCTGGATGCCCCGCCCGCTCTGGCCCCCCGCGCACACAGGTACCTGCAGACGATTTCAACTGAAGTAATGAAGGCAGTGTCGTGCTGTCGAGAGAAAGGTGGATCCCAACAACAGGAAACTACCTAAATCACCGACCAGTTCTGATGCTGCCCGCGCGGGGCTGCCTCGCCCGCTGCCGCCGCGCCGCCGCCGCCACTGTATCCGCCACGGGAGACCCCGCGATCGCGCCCGGCCCGGCCCCTCGCCAACCTGCGCCAGCCGCGGCCGCCGCGCGCCCCGCGCTGCCGCTAAGGCGCCGCGGGGGAGACGCCACCGGCCCCGAAAGGTAAACCTAGGAGAGGGAGGGGCGGAAGGTAAGGAGAGGGGAACATGGGAGAAGGGAGAAAGCGAGAAGAGCGGAGAAAACGAGCAGTGTGCGTGGTGACTCCCCAAATCTGGCAGCGCAGCGAGCCGGCGCCGAGCGGAGACAACCCCGGGCGACTCGAGCGCGCCAGGGACAGCACCGAGCCCGGCTGCCTGTCTGGTCTCGGCCTCCTGCGCTCGCTCCCCGCCGCTCGCTCTCCCCCTCTCTCCCTCCCTGCCCGCCAGCCCGCCGGGGCGCGCGCTCCCGCGCCCCCTCCCCCCTAGCGTCGCCACCCACCCCCTCCCGCGAGCAGGAAACGCGTGGCCCCGCGGAGGGCGACCAGGTGGGGGAGGCCGTGCTGGGGGGGGGGCGGGGGGCATGCAGCCAGGCCTGGTCTACCTAGCCGCTGGCGCGGATGCTAGAGACCCGCTGTGGGCCCAGCCTGCTGTGGGGTTCCTAGGCTGGGGGTCATCTAAGACCTGGGGACCCACAAAATAACCGGCCTCTGCAGGGCTCCGAAAGAAATCCTGTTTGGCTTCCTCTGTCTATGCAGCTCCCCTCTCAACTGAAACCACTGGTCCAAGACAGCCACAATCCAGATATACTAGCAAGTCATAAAACTGAACAAAAGCCGACAAACCTTACGGCACCAGGGCTATAGGGCCCAGACAAATTACGACCGTCTAGGTAATATTTAAATAGATGCCTAAAGTAATTGCAGGGGGCGCGGGCTAGTCCTCCTGTTGTAAAAGTGGTGGCCGGGATAAAGTGGAAGGTGAAGATAAGAAGTAAAAAAAAAAAAAAAAAAAAAAAAAAAAAAGGTAAAATTAAAAAAACTTCATTCCACAGCTTTTATTCTTCTATAAGAACATAAACATCGTCTTTTTCCACGCACAGCAGCATTACAATATTAATTTATTCTGATTTAAGATTAGAAGTAAATAGAGCTAGAACTAACATTTATAATAATGATAGAATGCATT